AGGATATTTGAAAAAATGTATTTCGATATCGCTATTATTTGTGCAAATTTTAACATTTGCCGATGTTTGCTGTAACTTTGAAGTTACATGAGATGTGAAGGGCATTTTATACAGGGTGCTTGAACAATTAAATTACATCGATTTTCCGAAATTTCCATAGTGGTCCGCAGGAGCGCGATAGAAAAACAATGCGTCCCTTTACCACACGAAACCGCGAATTTCTTTCCTTTTATAATAAAAAGCTGCTTCGCGCTACGCGCTACGAACTTGCCCCACCCAGTAAAGATTTTTCGAAAGCAATCTTGTTCATCTGTGGAATGGAACCCGTTTAGCCTAGTAAGACATAATTTCATATCGTCTTTTTCATTTTACATCTGAAAACAAGATTTTTCCTATAACAAACTATACCTAAATTTAATGCACACAAAAACGTTACCTGCAATCTGGTCCAGTGGCTCTTGACGGAAATTTCTTTCCGTATGTTCACAAATCGCTTATACTGTTCTGGATGTCTCTTTTTTAGTGGCTGTTGAGTTTCTTCGTCACTACCGGAGTCAGACATTGTCGATAAAACACTCAAAAATATTAACGAATAAATCACTGTCGTATTAAAAGGGTGTAAACAGTAGACTAACATGATCGTCGAGAGAAAATAAACAAATTCATGCGTCACGCATCCCCGCCATCGAATCTGCCCTAATCCGCCGCTCTGCCCAATAACGCCAAAAGTCACCGACCAATGTGGTTTTCACACTGAAGAGTCAAAATTCAGTATTAATATTTTCTGATTGGGATTTTAACACAAATTATGTAAATTGACATTTTAAACCCGTTCATGGCAAAAACCCATTTTCGGCGGAAATTGACTTATGGGGTTTTTGAAATGAGCGATTCATTTGGAAAACTCACAACAGTTCTTCGTTTCTAGACATTATTAATTGAAAACCAGACTTAACCTTTTGTCATATATTTCGAAATTGTGATACATTCCTTATTTTTCAGAGCTATATCTCTTTCGCAACACGAATATCTTAAGCAGGAATTAACACATCTCACCTCATTTCCAATCTCGGGCAATTTCCGTTATCAAGAAATAAGACGATTCACAGAAATAAAAGCCCCGTCCAGTCTCAAACAAATTTTGTCGCTCGGGTCCAAATTTTATCTCAACAACACAACAGAACTGTCGCCAGAATTTACGCCAGTCAAAGGACAGATTTCGATTCTGAATAACATAGGCCTTCTAAGGGTTGTTTTTTTTTCGATCTATAGAACTTTAAGTTGCAATAAAACAACGATGGATTATTCGATTGACATTACATTTTAAATGTGATTTCTGGTATATGACCGCCACGGGTGGCGCAGATGTAGTCCAATTTGGACTTCCAATTTTCGATGACTTTTTCCAACATTTGTGGCCGTATATCGGCAATAACACTTCGAATATTGTCTTCCAAATGGTCAAGCGTTTTTGGCTTATCCGCATAGACCAATGACTTTACATAGCCTCACAGAAAGTAGTCTGGCGGTGTTAAATAACAAGATCTTGGAGGTCAATTCACAGGTCCAAAACGTGAAATTAGGCGGTCACCAAACGTGTCTTTCAATAAATTGATTGTGGCAAGAGCGGTGTGACATGTTGCGCCGTCTTCTTGAAACCACATCTCCTGGACATCATGGTTATTCAATTCAGGAATGAAAGAGTTAATAATCATAGCTCTATACCGTTGACTGTTACGTTCTGGCCATCATCGTTTTGAAGAAGTACGGACCAATGATTCCACCAGCCCATAAAGTGCACCAAACAGTCAGTTTTTCTTGATGTAACGGTGTTTCGACATACACTTGAGGATTAGCTTCGCTCCAAATGCGGCAGTTTTGTTTGTTCACGTAGCCATTCAAGCAGAAGTGCGCTTCATCGCTAAACAAAATTCGCTTATGAAAATCGCGAACAACTGTAATCTCGTTTTGGGTCCATTGGATGGATCTACGCCTTACTTGATGATCGTTTCGCTTCAATTCTTGCACGAGTTAGATTTTGTAAGCACGTAAACCAAGATCCTTCCGTAAAATCTTCCATAAAGTGGATGGACACAGATCCAATTCCTGTGCTCGATGGCGGATGGACTCATTCGGGTTTTCCTCAATGCTACGCTCTACAGCAGCAATAACTTCTTCTGTACGCACCGTACGGCGTCTCTGGAGATGCGAGTTCCATGGTTAATCGAATTAACTGCTCTGATGGACGATTTTGTCGACGATAAAATGGACGTAGTGCGCGATACGTATTCCGCACAGAACCATTAATTTCGAAATAAAATTGCACTATTGCAAGCGTTGTTCAGGCGTGAATCTATTCATGATGAATTGCCAAACCAAATTGAGAATAAATCACTTGGCAGCTGTTAAATCGGTCGCCATCTTGAACAGTAATGCCAACTTAAAGTTCTATACATCGAAAAAAAACACCCATTACATTTAAATCAGATTAGAATTTTCCTCTATCGCATAAGGTTTTTTAAAATGAAAGAACAAAAACCGAATTAAAAGATCTAAATTAAATAACAATAGTTTTGTTTTTGGAAGATCTCTCCCTCTTGGTCTAAAGTAGATTTTCCTGTACATTCCATGACTGTATTAACCATTTTATTTATTAAAAATTATTTAAAACATGATCCATCTTTATTTAAAGCTTTAACGTATTGTTTCATCAGACCTAATTTAATATACAAGGCTTCTGTTATATTATTCAACAAAAAGACTTTAGTGTAACAAGCGTAAAATTCAAAATAGCCTATAAATTCTGTCTCGAGCTTCCTGAAATATAAGACTTAACGTCTTGTGCCAGTAAATATTATTTCGAAGTCTAGATGCTAAAATTTCGGAAAGATCCTTAGATAAACCTAGGTCTCTCACTAAATAATTAAATTCTAATTGTGAAAATAACTGTAGTTGCTAAGAAACACTCCATATATTACTAACATCACTAATTAATGTTCAGAAAAAATTCTTCTAAATTTCAGATTTGAGATTTGGATAAACAACATTGTTTTTCAAATTTTTGTTATTACATCCACTAACATGGTAATTTGTTTGCTCTCTCCATATCAAAAGGTAGGGATCGCCTGGTTCCATTATTCCAATGTCCTAAACCTTCTTCACATATATATGGTTCCTCTATAAACCATCTCGGTAGGGTTAAGTGATACTTGAGTTAAAAAAAAAAAAATTACGCCCAATAACGAAGGATAGTGATAGACGGCTCACTAAATATAAACATACCAAAACTGTAGCTGATTTGAAAATTATAAAAGATTTACAAATATGATTACCACTGCATTTAGAAGGCAAAAGAAAACGTGCTACTATAACAGATTAAAATTAAATAACTCTAAAGAAATGTGGTCTTCATGATATTCCACCTCAACTCAGTAATGTAGACGTTACTTATAATTACTTTGTTAACTCTATTTAAAGTTCAACGTGTAAACCCAGTAACATTAAAACCAAAGATAGAAAAGATCAAATTTTCAAAAGAAAATAAATGAAAGACAGCTCGTTACCTACTGAAACAAATTTAGTATAATCCCCGAAAATCATACGTGATATAGACCTATTTACAGTTTCACGGTCCTTCTCAATATGACTGATGATATTTTTAAGTCCTAGGACTATGTTTTGTTAGATTATTCTCACACATTCAATCACTAGCCTTTATCGAATTTGAACTATACTGGTTTGAGTGTGTGAGCACGAAAGCTTATTAAAAATTATTTTTTCTACTCCCGTCTGAAAAATAGCTAATAACACACGGATCTATCGTGCGGAAAGCGTCACTTTACCACGTCAGTTTCGTTTCCCGCGATTCCGAGCCAGTTCGGACATTTCCGGGATTTTACCGCACGGGTTTGGGAGCAATCGGATGTTTTCGGAGATATTTCCCACGCCTTGAATGGTGACGTTTGTCAATTCTGAAGTTCATGTCAGTGAATGCCTTGTTCTGCGAAAATATACCCAAACGGTCGTACGAAAAGTATAGTATGCAACACGTTCGGTAAACTTTTTAAGTCACTCGTTTATTAAACACTCGCTCCGCTCGTGTCAAATAAACTCGTAAGTCAAATGGCGTTTACCGAACTTGTTGCATAATATACTATTATCAACCGTGAGCATAGAGGTGGTTTTGGGACCTCTGTTATTATGTATTATATAGCACAATCGTCAAAAGTCTTTTTATCATGTCTGCAACACTTTAACGCAGATGATACTCAGATGTATCTCAAGCTCAATTCTGACAAAACTTCAGGAATATTTTTTGCTAGAAAAACAAACAGAATAAAATTTTTGTAAACCTACAATAACGTATTAAAGGTAAAGTATGTAAATAAAAAATTTAGGGTTGTTGACTGATTCAGAGCTGTCTAAAAAAAGCTTACATGAATTTAAAACTAATTTTGAAACATACACAAATATGGACCCCTCAAATCGTTATTTCAAACAATTTCAAAACAATTACCGTCATTTACATTTCACAACCATCTTTTTTAATACATTAGCAATAAAGACACCACAGTATCTACATAAAAATCTTCAGTATGCTGTAAAAAAATGGAACAAATAATCACTATTACAGAAGTGGCTGAAGAAGCATTAAGTAGATAAAATTGGGTGAAAACGAAAAAAACAAAAATTTCATTTTTTGTTCATGTTCAATCATGATTAATATAAAAAAAAACCTTTTAAAAATCATAATCGTCATTTTTTGCATACTGATCAAATTGAAAAACTAAAATGAAGAACGTCATTAATGTTTATTAATTTTTCACTTAAAAAATAGGCAATTTTTTGTACTAGTTTATTGCGTAACATTAAAAGATTTTTTTCTGTAACAACCTATAGCCATTTAATCACAATTCGGTTGTTCTACTGGCTTTAAAAAAAGGAATATTGCTGACTTTTCGAGGCCCCATGTTTCCTTAAACCCGCCATATTTTTCGCAGGATTATTCAGGGCTGCGATTTGTCAAAGCGGATGTTCCTTAATGGGTATGTCCGCTTTTTCAAATCCCACAGCTTACGAGGTCGCGAAAGCAATCGACAATTCTATTTCGGACAAAAATTCCACTAGAGAAATAAGAGAATTTCTACAAAGTCAACCGGTAGAAGTTTTGTCATCTCTCAACCAAAATTCCGGAATAGGGGTAAGTTTTATCACTAAATTCTCTATCTTATGCAGCTAGTTTAGCAACGTTGTCCTAAAAACGTGTTACAGTCTGGCATAACAATGGAGGTGGAGGATAAGGATGCCTACATTACAGAGCTCAATTTTCCGTTAGTTCAATCTGGAAATATTAATCGACTTCCTTTAATGATCGGCACTACTTCCGAAGAATCGCTGGGTTCTTTTTCTTGTAAGGTTTAATGATTGCCTTTTCCGATTCAGTGCTATTTTGAGGCGTTCCAGCTCTACAGGTTGCGAGAGATAAGGGAGTTGATATGGATTCCGATGTAACTAGTTTAATACCAAACGATCTCGTACCACTTCCGGGTTCCAATCTAACGGAAATAGGATATTTAATTAAGGAAGCATATGTTGGAAAAGGTGGGAAATTTGCTGATAATCCCAACCAGGTGGTAGAGGTAAGCTTGCTTTTTTTAAAATTTTTATTTCCTTGGCTTTAGGTCGAAAATAAAATCTCTTGTTTCGAACCAATACAAGGGCTCTCATTGACATTTAAATTTATAAACATATGTTAAAAAGAAACCTATATACTAAGTTATGTTAAAAAAGAAAGGAAGACAACTGCAGAGCTTGAACCAGTAAAACTACTCTTTGACACTCTTATGGCGTGGGTACTTGTATTAGATAAATCTTTATCAAAGTCTCTTATTAATCTGTTACACTCATGAACACCTTAACGTATTAGCTCAATACAAATTTTTTCCAAATAAACTTTTACAGTACTGTAATACTATTTACAAATCTTCTGGATTCGTCTGAGACTATGTACATGTTATGTCATGTCAATTATTATGCCTGTCTGAGGAGGTATTCTGTTCAGATTCCCAAGTCTGAGGATTCCAGCCCTCAGTTTTCCATGCATGTTATGTCATGTCAATTATTATGCCTGTCTGAGGAGGTATTCTGTTCAGATTCCCAAGTCTGAGGATTCCAGCCCTCAGTTTTCCATGCACTCGGACCAATCGCATGCCGCTTGAAATCTGCTGGGGCATTCGTCCTTTTGGTGCATTCTTGCAACCAGAAAGACAACACCAGAACATGTTTCACCACCGAGAGTTAATAAAGTCTAGATGGAATCAAATCACCTTAAAAAAGATCAAAATGCAAAAAGAAAATCCAGAAATCGTTAATATAGTTTTAAATGTCATTTGTTGCTAACTACAATTAATTTGTTAGGTACATAACGAAAGGTGACGGTATAACTCGCTCTGTTTCAGTTTTCCAGTGATGGTTTCGTCAGGCCAACACTGAAACAAGCCGAATTGCAGTCGAATTATACTCCCGTTTATATGTATCAGTTCTCATTCTATGGAACCAAGAGTGAAAATCGTACCATAATACCAGGTAATTTAGTAAAGTAGATTTTACGAACAACTTTCAGGAACGGCGTGTATTTTTCATGAAAATAATTAATCTAATTATATATATATATATATATATATATATATATATATATATATATATATATATATATATATATATATATATATATATGGTCATGGTCAAAAAATACACTTCACCACAACCTTCCAATAGCAATGAGGTCGAAAGAAATCAAGTACACTTGCCACTGTGGTCCTTCCTTACATTCAAAACATCACTGACCATATATCAAAAGTTCTAAAGAAGTATAACGTCGAAACCAGATTTACCACTTGTCCAAAAATCTCTGAACATCTGCGGTCCGTGAAAGACAAAATTCCATTTGAGATGCCAGGAGTTTACAGCATTCCATGCATATGCGGCAAAGAATACATTGGAGAGACCGGACGAAAAATATCAACTAGGCTCAAAGAACACGAAAGAGCCTTACGATTAAGACAAATAAACTCATCAGCTGTTGCCGAACACACTTATGAAACCGGGCATTAAATTTTATTTGATAAAATTAAAATTCTTGCATGGAATCAGTTCTTCTACCAACGAAAAATCCAAGAGTCTATAGAAATCTATAAACAACCTAACAATCTTAATCGCGACTCAGGTCTCTACCCGGCCCCAATCTGGGAATCAGTCATCCGAGAAGGTGTTTACGCCCCTAATTAGCGCCCCACCCCCCTCAAGCAATATATATGCAGGTACAGAGTACAGAAGTTTTGTAAAAGGCAAAAATTTAATTATGTGTAGACATTCCTAGCTATTAACTTATTGTATATATTTAATGTCATTGTTATTTCTTAGTGTAATTTAATACGATTATATTCACCCAAATAAACAAAAAAATATATATTATTACCAAAATTGCCGCCAAAAACCAGCACGATGAAGATTGAGACATGCTATATGTCAGCACCTTTATTACTATTGAATGCAGGTTTTAAAACAAATCGTTTCAGGTGCTGGAAAGGTAGCCCACGCAGACGAATTAGCTTATCTCTTCAAGATATCTACATTTCCTATAACTACCGACGCCGATTTATTGACGAGACAAAGGATGGTACGCCTCTGGGCTAACTTTGCCAAAACACTGTAAGTTATTTTATTGACTCGACGACAATATCAACGATCTGTCTCTTCGTAGTTCTACGTTTAAGGGTCTAAGCAAGTTTTCATTCTAGCAATCCCACCCCTGATCAATCAGACCCGATATTGAACATCACGTGGCCCCAAGTGAATCCAAACGACATCCGCTATCTCGATATCGACACAAGTTTGACAGTAAAACCAAATAGGAAAGTTAAAGAGTACGCTATGTGGAACCGCGTCTTCTATAAATATGGAACCCAGCCTTTTATAGGTTTTTGATGAAGTTTTTAAATGTTGAATAAAATTCCTTTGAGTTTTATTGATTCGTTCATCTTTTCTCTGTACATAATTTTAGTATACCTTGTCTTATTATTTATTCCCCCGAGGAACACTCATTTTCATATGAAAAACCTTCAGTTTATTTTTAATATTGTCAAATTTTGGCTGTTTTTAAAAAACCGTTGTTGTATAGTGTCGTAAGTATGATCGTTTCTTTGCGATTCAAAAAGTGACTTATTTTTATATACTTAGACGATTTCATATCTACAGGGTGTTATTGAAATTACATCATAAAAGTCCTAAAAAAATTGCTATGTAAATTTGGTATAAAAGGCTTGTTCTTGCCACTGGATCTTTAGAGTGGATAAAATAATAAGCCATCCATTAAGCTTTGCCATTTTTAATAGGCTTATAAAGTTATGAAACAGCTTTCAGTGGACTTATTATTATGTGTACTACCACTGCAAAGGCTTCCAGGTTAATTTTTAACAAGAACATTACCAATTTCATAAATTCAAGCCCCAGTATTTTTCTTCTACTATTGACTAGGAAAGTTTGTTCAGCTGACGACGAGAACCAGCTGTCTGTCATTGGCCGAATTATCCTGGTAGTCGTGGCCATAGAAGGAAAGAAAAAAAAGAAGCTCTTTGTTCATCTGACGTCTGAAATGTCATAAAATGGACAAGGAATAGAGACGAAAAATCAGAGTAGCAAATACATAAAGGAATGAACAAAGAGCTTCTTTTTTTATTTTTCCCTCTTTGTTCCTCATTAGTTTGTCTGTTTGTCAGCATAATTCGCAATATGGATCGTAATACCTTTCTCGGACTACTGTTTTACATATTTTTATCTTGTTCTCTCGGTTCATATATTGGTTTTGTTATATTGTTTGCCTCCGTTTTTTATTTCCTTATAGTGGAGCCTAAGTAATTAAATGCAATTGCTCGATCGTATTTCCATCCAGATTTTGTTAAATCTAATAGGCTCTCCAGATATCACCATGGATTTCGTTTGGTGCCCTGGAATTTTTGCTGTGACTTTAAAAGTGTGTAAAATTTTTTGTAGGTTGTCTCCACTGTTTGGTAGCGTTCCCATTTTCTGGCTTATTGAATTATTTTGATTCAGTTAAACAAAAATTGGCTCAGAAATTCTGATCTTATTGGTATTGCCTCCGTTGTTCCCTGGGATGTGGGTTCCACATTTCTTTTCCATCAATCAATCTCTTCAAGCTGCTTCAGGTCGCTTCTGCTGGGTTATTTTCAATATTAATATCACTAAGTTTCTAGTGAAGTTTAATTGTTGGATAGTCAACTCTCTGAATGCTCTGTTATCTGGGTTTTGACGTTTCTTGCTTTTATTTTATAGCCTCTATTGATTGCTCATGCAACTGCTTTGTCTTTTAACACCGCAGAAGGTTCATGCTTTTAAAAAAAATACTAACCAATTAAGAATGCATTATTTTCAAAAAAAGATACAATAAAAAGTTCTACACAAATTATTCAACAAGCTACATTAGCTATAAACACTTCCAACTCATTCTAGATTGGACTACATTCCATGCATTTTCTTTTTTTTTCCATTAGTAATCCCAAATAAACTGCGATTGATTCACAATATCACAAACACTGTTATTAATTGTGTCTCCAAAACATTCATTTGCAACAAACTTAATTTTATAGTTATTTGTTTTGTACTTTACTTATTTATGATTCGCCCTTTTGAACCTAGATGGCACAGGTTTAACGAAGAATTTGTTACAAGAATGAATTTTTGAAACGGCAGTAGAAAATCTGTTATCGTTTTGGAATTTCTATCTAAAACATTCTGCACCTCCACGATAATCCTTATACATATTAAACCCTTCCATTGTCACTGTTACATGAAGCTATTACCAACGAAAATAATATTTTTGTTAATTGAGCTGAGGTGGCTTTTACTTGATGAAAATCTATTTAAGAAAATAAACAAAAACTGAAAATTATTTTAATTATTATTTATTTTATTTTTATTTTTATTAAAATAAATCCAACTCATCATATGAATTTTACTAAGCTCCAGAAAGTGGGGTTATGTTATAACGTGACAGAATACAATCGACACGTTAAGAACCGTTTGACACGGGACAATATTTTAACCTAAATTGTATACAATTGGTTGCGCGCGCGTTTTTAGTCAACAATAAAATAGAACATTTCCTAAATTCTTGCATGAAATTGACTGAACATGCGCAATTCCTAATTCCGATTGTTTTATTAATGAGGTTATGTTTGTTTAGCTGTGATTTTGCGGACTTTGGTTCAATTTAAATAGTTAATTTTCAAATATCTTGTTGATGTGTAGTTATGAAATTATGTCGTGGTCTGAGCAGCAGATAAAAATGCTTATAGAGCTGTATAAGGAACATCCTTGTTTATATTCATTGAAAAGTACATAATACAAAAATAAATATGCTAGAAATAATACACAATACACAAGGTATATACTATGAATAGTCACGATTTATTGAAGTACAGATTTACAAACCCAACATACGGTATTATGAGCAGATGTATTAGCATTATGCATTATGCATTATTATTATTATTAGCATTATGATACCGCTAACATCTCCTACAAGTCCTGCAATAACTGAGTCTTGTGAGAACTCTAGAGATTTACTTTTATACTCTCAATCTTAACAAATTGTCTATACTTCTGTAACTGCTATCTTAAATGAAGAGTTACTGTATTTACATTATTGTGACATGTATAACTAAATATTGTGCAAACATTTTAGGAATTGCAGTTTATGACTAAGGCAACAGGTATTCAATTAATATTAATTAATATTAATAGAGTTGATAATATTCCTCCATTGATTGGTTCTCAGCGTGTAAAATCAACCAAATTTAGTTACGAACAATATGCAGAGAAGAAAAAGATGTGACAATACTGAAGATGAGACTATTAAAAGCGCCAATAAAGTCTTGTGAAGGACATAAGTACATCTATTGCAGCACGTGCAAGTGCCACCCATCAGAACAAAGCTAAAATCCGCTTGAAAGTGAAATAATTGGTGAATATGTTATCAAGCAATTAACAGCACTTGAGGAGGACGAGGAACTCTTTTTAGATACTCAACACATTATTGCATAAATTGCATTTCATAAATTGCAATTTATATAAGCAAAACATTTATTGAATAAAAACGTTTACATATTATCTTTCCGAATCATATTATTCTGCCATTCCACACTCCCTGAACTATTACAATAAATTTTAAATTCCTCCTGTATCAATTATGCAGGCACCACACTTCTGTTACTTCCTTGCTGTGGAATCTTTTCTAATGAAATTGCTAAAATTTCATTTTGAGATATCTCTGTGTAATTTTTCCAGTTTTCTGTAGCCAGGTAATTATGAAGAACGATACATGTTGAAGTAATTATTTCAACTTTTTCTGCATTTAAATTAATGGGATTTAAAAGAATTCTGAATCTATTACCTAAAATTCCAAATGTACGTTCTACAATTCGACGAGCTGTAGAAAGTCTGTAGTTGAAAATTTTTTGTTGACATGGAAAAGGTTTCATAATTCTTGTGGAAAGTTTTAAAGCATCGTCCGCTACAATCACATATGGAACTTCCAACACTCGTCCAGTCAGTGGTCTATTTTGAGGGAAAAGTAAATATCCTGAAGACATAGCTTTAAATAAACCGCTTTCTCTAAAAACTCCACCATCACTGGTCCTTCCATTTACTCCCGCGTTACAGTAAATTATTTTGTATTTTGCAAAAGAACAATCACCCTTATAGTTATAGTAATACGATGGTGCCGAAATAAGTGCCTTAAATTTTATATGCCGTCCATCTAAAGCCCCAATGCAATTAGGAAACTGCCATAATGCGTTAAATTCTTCGGCTATATGCAACCAGTCCTTTCGATCTGGTGTCTACAAAAACAGAAAACGTAGGTACTTTACCATGTAATAGATGTGTCATCTGATTGCACATTTTTTTTATTATACAGGTCAAATTTAGTACTAAAATTGGTATATAAAATATTGCTAGGTACTGAATGTGGAAACACCCTGCCCTTCTACCGATCCATTTCCTTTACCAGTTTCTCTTTCTTTTTACATTATTATTTCCACGATTCCGATTCCTTTTTTTAGGGTTATTATTAACATTGCACTTATTTCAAACGTAAATCGTGTGGCTGTGGCAGATTCTACATCTCCTTCGGGCTTTATTAGCATGAACAATCATGAGGTGACCTTGATTATCATAACGCACTTCATCTATGGCACGTGCAAGATTTCTTTGAGTAATTGTTTTATCAGTTTTTAGAAGACTTGTCTTCTTTTGAATTCCAGGGTTTCATCATCTGATGAGTCTTATACAGATTCAGTAGTTGATGAATTACAGGACTGTTGAAGGACAGCTGTATCATTCGGTATATGTAACTCGAATGTTCCAACTATATCAGTTGGTTCCCCAAACTCTTGTAGATTTATGTTATCGTTCATATCTTCTTCGTCAGTCATTGTTATTTTAAGCATAAATTTACCAGGAATTTAATGCTACAATACATAAGAATACGTAAATGCAAATAATACTTACGACTTTCATTGTTATTGTCATAATCCATCATGATCTCCTCCATAGCCGCCTCTAATTCCTTTTGAGTCAAATATCTCGGAAATGCCATATTTTACAAACTGTAACGTTCACTGCACAAAGCACAAACTAGTACTAAAAAACACGCTAATTGTTGGATGTTTATTCTATATGCGCTGACTTGTCTAGACTTGCAATAACAAAGTTTTGTTTCAAAGATGAAACCAGTAGTGCATTCACGCACCAGTAAATATTTTCAAAAAATAAAACATAATCGATATAGTATTTCCAATGTATGTCTTCTGCGATTTAATGTACATGCTATAAACTTAACAAAAATGGCAATGAACATGTGATACACATTTATGTACCGCTATTATTAACTTTTGAATTCTTATATAAGATCTTTCCTTTACACATAAATTAGCGATTTCTACGGTTTTAT